ACGATGGTTCTCCGTTTCCCTGTTTCTGTGGTTTGTGAGCTATGCTGAACGTATAACACTCCTAACATGTCCACAAGCAAAGTCTTATTAATGTATTAACCCACCTGCGAAACAAACTATTTTGTACTGAAAATACTGTTTCAGCTTCAATCTTATACTATCACCTGTTTAAGCAGGGCTTTGAATTGAGGCAAGACACTCTTCAGATGACTGAACATCCAGGTTGCCAGATATGAAAATTGTAATGCCATTTTATGCAGCACAGGCTTAGAATAAACCACCGTTTACATAAAAAAACTCATACGCTTGAGGAATACAGAATCAAAACAAGTTTGAGTATTTTGGTAAAATAATTTAGTCTGGAGATACATTTCAATTTGCCTTTATAGCAAATGTGAATTTTGGATTAGTAAAATAACGTGGAAGACAGTAGTATGTTGCACTATTGGTTGAACACCAATAAAAACTCACTGTCTCGTCCCCCACTCCCCCTTCCCAATCTTGAAAAAAAGGAAAATGAATAGGGTAATCACTTAATTTTGTCATATAATTTAAGTGATCAACATAAAAGATGTTAACATTCACAGCTATAAGGAAGAAATAGCCAGCATTTCTAGATTTAAGGTGACCATAGAAACCTATTTCAAGTCTTTGAATGGTGTCTTCAAAATCAAACCTGACTTCAGTTCCAATGCCATTTTATCCTAACCCTCACCTTAAGCATCTGTTTCCCCACTGACTAGCCCTGAGCATGCTACAAGTTCTCAACGCTGGGGAGAGGCTGTACATGGGCACTCCTTTTTTCCATGCTGGCCTTGTCTACGCCTCTGCAGTGTCAGACTGATATGATACACCTTGCAGAAGGAACCCTTGTTTAACTCATTCCAGTCATACTACAAATGCACTTGAAAATGAAATCAGTTTTTCCATCAGTTACCTGAAACATCTCCATTTCATAGCCCCAACCCAACCTCAAAAGCACAGGAACACAAACCGCCACCAGTCATCCAGGTCAACTCACTCAGAAAAGCAAGGCTGTGTCCATATCGATGTGTTTGCAGCATCCGCTGCTTTCATTCAGTGGAACAGCACTTAGGAAATATTCTTCAGTATTTCTCAGAGACTGCATTCTATATCTAACGTATACAAACACACAGAGAGTATACTAGGGTACAAAATTCTACTGTATTCAAGATAACACAATAACTTTCTGATCTCATGGTTTGAGTTGCAGTTTCTGAGAAATGATACCTGTGTTCCCATCCCTGTTTCAACAGATATTGAAGCATTTCTTGCCAAGGGGAACAGTATCCATAGAAAGACTGATCCTGTACATCAATGGCTGCACAATATGCTTGGAAAAAAGGAGAGCCGAGGTAGAATTCCTGCTTCAAATCGATCAGAACGGGATTTAAATTTGGATTTCACACATACCACTTGAATAACCTAATTATGGTCATATAAAGGAGGGAAGAGGAAAATGCAATCTCCATGTTGTCATCTATAACTATTTTGTCTGTGAACTAGCTCTTGCTTCCAAGCATTTTTTTTAAAAAGTGAAAAAATAGAGATAAAATGTTATGCCAATCAAACAGTTGGATTCACGCATAACGTACATTTCTGGAAGAGCATAGAAATATTGTACTGACCAAAACAATTGTGTACGGCCACCAAATTAAAGAGGTGGTGAAAAGAAAAAGACAAAAGATATACAAATAATAATGATCTGTGTCCCTGTTGAGAAATGTTAATGGAAATTTTCTAAATTATTCAGTTCAAGGCAGGTTCTGCGAGAAATGGAAAATCTCAACATAAACAGGTAACATTTGGAAAACTGATAAACACTTGAGAGTAATGTCTTTTGGTGAAAAACTTCATGCAGCTTTAGCTAAAGACCGTGCTACCAGTTCCACCCTAAATATTTTATCTATGCCTGCAACAAAACCAGGAAAGGACTGTGAAACAAAACTTTGATTGTGAATGAAGTTAGCAATATTCATTTCTTCAAAATGGAACATACTTATGGACACATAACAAATAATAATTTGATGTACTAGCTCAAACATAACTGTTGCACAAAATAGAACCTACTGCTCTCAATATGTTGCTCTCAATTTGTTGGACTAGATGACCTCTAGGGGTCCCTTCCGACCCAAAACTTTCTATGATTCTATGATAATATTTTAAGCAAAATAATTTCGGAGAATGGTAGAAGGGTCACTGAAAACTTTGACTTACTGTTGAAACCATACAAATTTTTAGGGATGGGAAGCAGGGAACACACCAAATCTGCTGGTAAGGGCCTACACAGAACTTTATAACTCTGTAGGAAAGAGAAGAATTTTAGGAATCTTTATAATCCTGCTGGGCCTATAAAAACAGAAATGAAGACAGGTCAAGGGATCTCGATGGATGGTTAGACTGCAAAGCATGGGCACAGTGAAATACTTCGACATTAGTTTCAGGAAGGCAAGCACTGTTGAAATGGCTTTGGGCAACAGACAGTACAAGACTACTGAAGCCTATTCATGTCAGTCAGTGTTATAAATAGTTATAAATCATATTAGTAAATTATAATAGTATTGTAAATACTATTTCATACCCCAGGAAGTCACATCGCACATGTACACCAGCACAATCCAAGTATTAATCTTTCAAAACTCAGGCCTTAGAACAGTGACAATGGCTTTCTTGACTATTTTTCTAATCCGAGTCCTAAGCATGTAATTTCAAGAAAGAAGGTCCAAATGTTTGAAGTATAAATATTTAAAATTTGAAATTATTTATCAGAGGGAAGAAGCTGAGCAACCCCTAGTGGTAGCAGAAAAATACATTTGGGAAAAAAAAAGCAAAATTTTTTACAGGACCAAAGCATGTTCAAAAATACATTAATATGTAAACACAAACTTCTGCATTATATGCAGTGTCCAAAGCTGATGACAACTTTTAGAAAAAACTAGAAGTGAAAAATCATGCATGACTCACGGCAGTTTTTCCCTAGTATTCTATTAGAATGTGATAATTGTGTTTGATAAAATACACTACAATATAGTCATCTTATAATATATTAAGATGAATCTTTTTATACATTTTTCTGAAATGGATTGCATTTTCTTCCTAATTCTGAGATGTCCCAATGTGACTACTGCCAAATTCAGCATCATCATTTAGGGAGGGATTTGCAAACAGTATACCAATGAAGCACACAACTTTTTTGCATTTTGTTTGAAAGTGGTTATCTAGAACTCAGATTTATCAGCTGTCTTCTATAAATTGCCAATTGCTCTTCCTTCTTTTATGCTTGGAAATAAGACTGAACACTAATCAACAACCTTGACAGTACAAACTGTACTTTCTTCTCCTCAACCTTTTTGAAATTTACTCCAGTAGAGTAAGATTTTCTGTGTTAGCCATCAGCAGGTCAAGATTCTCATGAATACCCATCAGAACAAAGGAGGTACAGAGATGAATGTGCCTGAAAACATCAGGCAGAATATCAGAGAATTCAAAATATATCTGAACTGTATACAGTCTTTGAAAAGTTATCCATACAGATGCATTAAAAAGAAAAGCCCTTGCTCTATTGCCACCCATGACCACAAGCCTCTAGTCATCATCAGGATAAAGGGATGGTGCTTCATAGTGTCAAGGTCATTTCAGACACCGTGAGTCCATATACCAGTAGATAACATTATAAAATAAAAGAATGAGTCCAAAATTATGTCTTGTTTACAAAAAATGTAATATTGGAGACAATGTTTCCAAAATTAAAGACAACACTGACAGACCTGAAAAAAAAAAAAGTGCAGTTATAAGAAATCACTTTGGAGCTCAGTTCTTCTTGATTTGCACTGTCTTTCTAAGGTGACTTTTGAAACTGATTTTGGGCCCAAAAACTAGTTTAGGCAGAAAGTTAATGGGCTTGTTACTGAACACCTGCATCTAGTCCAAACTTCACAAAAAAGGATGTCAAGAGACTTGAATTCAATCCCTAAGAAAATACCACACATGAGAAAAAAGCAAGAAATATTCCGCCCCCCCCAACATTTGACCCACTGTAATTATAATGCTATAGCATTTTGTGCTGAGATGTAGCAATCTGCAAAGGAGAAACCTCATCTTTCCCCAGTTCAAGAAAGATGAGGAGCTACTGGAGAGAGTCCAGCACAGGGCTACGAGGATGGTGAGGGGACTGGAGCATCTCTCCTATGAGGAAAAGCTGAGCGAGCGGGGCTTGTTCAGCCTGAAGAAGAGAAGGCTGCAAGGTGACCTAATATATGCTTATAAATATCTCAGGGGTGGGTGTCAGGAGGATGGGGCCAGACTCTTTTCAGTGGTGCCCAGCGACAGGACAAGGGGCAATGGGCACAAACTGAGGCACAGGAAGTTCCGTCTGAACATGAGGAGGAACTTCTTCCCTCTGAGGGAGATGGAGCACTGGAACAGGCTGCCCAGGGAGGTTGTGGAGTCTCCTTCTCTGGAGATATTCAAGACCCGCCTGGACAAGGTCCTGTGCAGCCTGCTGTAGGTGACCCTGCTTCGGCAGGAGGGTTGGACTAGATGACCCACAGAGGTCCCTTCCAACCCCTACCATTCTGTGATTCTGTGATTCTGTGAACTGAAGTGTGAATTGCAAGCTGCCAATTTAAGTTCGGAGCTAGGACATGATTCCTGTGATAGACTAATGGCTAGCTACTTCAGCGCCAAGAAGTCTGACACACAAATCTTAAATTCACAAGAAAGACAGACAACATGACAGATATCTTTGAGGAATTTGTGAAAATATTCTTACAACACTTTAAAAGATCTTTGATTTCTTACTGAAAAATATGTATAATTTTACTATAAATAATCTATCGGTAAGGCATAGTGCAGTGTGCCCGCAGGTATTGTATACTCAGTAAAGTGTGCTTAACAGACATTTCATTTTCATCACATTCACGAAACATTCTATTACATTTAAGAAGCATCATTTAATGAATCACGTGAAAATATCATACCTCCAAGTTGCTGAGATGCTGTTTTTCAAGGAGTTGCTGTATTTCTTTCATATTTTTCTGGAAGAGAAGTTGGTTACTATCCACGTTTGTTCTGCTGCTCTCTTGTACTGTTTCATCCCAGCCTTCCATTGCTGAAATCTGCTTCTGACGGCAAGAATCGTTTCTAGATGCTGATGAGGATGAAGTGTCATCTGTGGTTCTTGATGCAAGCAAATAACTTATTACTTTGGCTTGTTTCTGCTTGTCAACTGTACACTTTTAGACACGTTCCTTTCCAAAAGCATACTTCATCAATAAATGCCTGGCAAGTGAAGGACAGCTATGCTATATGTAACTACAGCTGGTGCTGTTAGTACTATCCAAAACTGCCCAACACTTCCCATTTCAAACCATCCCTTCTGTTATTTATAGTCAGACTTTTCTGATTGGATTGTTGGGTGACTACCTCAGGCTGAATTAATCTGGAAAATGTCAGCCAGCAGTCTGGTCATTTACAGAAATGCAACACGTTTTTTTTTTTAAAAAAAAAAAAAACAAAATGGCCTTTATTTTTCCACAAGGTTGGCTTACATAGGGGATAACTATATACTGATGCTGTCAGATATTCCCTTAGTTCAAACAGCAAGAAGGCTTTGTAGTATCCAGAGAACACAACACTACTGATGATGCATTATGTCAGCAATGTGGTACATTACATTAAAGAATTTGTATCTGCTACCTGAAAAAAAAAAAATCTTTGGAGTAGCTGGGTGCTGTGGTCAGAGTGAGCTCAAATTAAGACAGAGGAAACCACAGGACTCTACAGGATGAGAATCAGCAAGAACCATGGGGCTGGTTGACACCCAGGAATTAAAGAAGCCAAGAAGCATGTGAAGCCAAACAGCAAGGAAAATGGGCAATCAGAGACTAGGAAGGCAGGGAGTGTGTAACAAGATATGTTCAAGAATAAAAAGCAGACAGAACTGGAACAAGGCTGGGTAAGATCACTAGGAATAGCAACCAAGCTTTGGAAAACAAGAGGCAAGAACTAGGTAGATATCAAGGATGACGAAACCAAGAAACAAGTAGCTTTAACCAGTAAGAAAGATACACATTAAAAAAACCCCAAAATAACCCACACCCCGAAATACACCAGAAAAGAGTCTGGCCCCATGCTCCTGACACCCACCCTTAAGATATCTGTAGGCATTTATAAGGTCCCCTTGCAGACTTCTCTTCTTCAGGCTGAACAAGCCCAGCTCCCTCAGCCTTTCCTCATAGGAGAGATGCTCCAGTCCCCTCATCATCTTTGTAGCCCTCCACTGGACTCTCTCCAGTAGCTCTTCATCTTTCCTGAACTGGGGAGCCCAGAACTGGACAGAGTACTCCAGATCCCCAGCTCACTAGGGCAGAGGAGAGGGGGAGGACAACCTCCCTCAACCTGCTGGCCACACTCCTCAATGCACCCCAGGATCCCATTGGCCTTCTTGGCACACTGCTGGCTCATGGTCAACTTGTCGTCCACCAGGACACCCAGGTCCCTCTCCACAGAGCTGCTCTCCAGCAGGTCCACCCCAAGCCTGTACTGATGCATGGGGTTGTTCCTCCCCAGGTGCAGGACCCTGCACTTGCCCTTGTTGAACCTCATCAGGTTCCTCTCTGCCCAGCTTTCCAGCCTATCCAGGTCACGCTGAATGGCAGCACAGCCTTCCGGTGTGTCTACCACTCCTCCCAGTTTGGTGTCATCAGCAAACTTGCTGAGGGTACTTTCTAACTCTTCATCCAGGTCACTGATGAAGAAGTTGAACAAGACTGGGCCCAGTACTGACCCCTGGGAACCCCACTAGTTACAGGCCTCCAACTAGACTCAGTGCCACTGATGACAACCCTCTGAGCTCTGCCATTCAGCCAGTCCTCAGTCCACCTTAATAGCAAAATGGGTATACCTTCACCAAAAAGGGGAGATCCAGCTTTTATTTTACCAGGTTGATCAGGGCCAATATTTGAAATGATACTTTGTCTCAGCAATCACTGGAGTTTGAGTAACAAACCAAACCTTATTGTCCATTCAATATACAGATCCTTTCCAGCATTCCCAGGACGCATTTCTTGTTAATAGCTCCTTAGGAGCATCAACACTACTTCTTAAATACTGTGAAATTGGGTGAAGGTGTTTAGCTAAATTTGTGGCAAAAGTGAACTTTTACTCTATATGCAACTAAGTACAAAAATTATACTTCCACATACTTCCCTCTTTTTTTTGATTGGAATCTAGCTTGACAAGATGATCTACCACTCATATTTTACCCACCCTCATTTTCAGTGAAGGTAATGGTAAAGATGATGGTTCCTTTCATATATGGGCAATATGCAGTGTAGGAACTTGTAAGAAGATATCTATTTCATGCCAGACAAAGCTATCTTCCTTAACGGCTGGCACCCCTACTGAAGTGCAGTCACCCAATACATCCACAGACCTCATCCTCTTCTACTGCTTATCCAGCAGAGATACATTATTAGGAAACATGTTTTGCTCCTAGCTGGAGATGGCTACCATATGTCTAATATATGTACAGAAACGCAATAACCCCTTTCCTTCATTTCTCTCCATTTCTTCAGCTTAAGTGTCCACAGTTCCTTCTTCTGAGCCCTCATCTGTTTCATCCTCTTTCTGTATCTAAAATTGTACTCCCTGTTAAAATCCATCCCTTTTCTTTGTAGTACATCTGTGTCAAATCGGTAAATAGTCTAATGAGACCTTTTCTGTATTTATTATAACACAATATTAGAACAATGGAAAATGGAAACTTTAATCCCATCAAGATTAGTGTTATTTTTCAGAAGATTTTATACAATACTCCAAAAAGGCTGTCTTGATTGCACTGACCTAAGCAGAGATATATATTTGGCAGAGTCTAAAAAGGAATGTATTATTTCTGATGAGATGGCTGATAGTAAAAAGGAAGAACAACTTCTCATATTTATTTATAGAACTCAGAAAACTGTATTCTATATTCTTTTGAATGGGAGATATCCTCCCGTCCAAAAACTTTCCGTACCTGTCCACTTTTAAAGACTTTGTTACTGTGGACCAGACTGATCCACATCTGGCCCCACAAAAATCTGTTTTTTGGGGGGCAGGGAGAAATTTCTTGATATCTATTTGAATATTTAGACCATTTATATTTATAAAAGTTTCTACATCCTAACTTTTTTCAGAGAACATTTTTGATTTGTCCAATTAAGTTTCTATTCCCAAGACTGAACCTAATCAAATACAACTGGTTTTAAACACTAACAGTGAAATATATCTTGTAAAAAGAGCAGCACACCATTTACACACCTAATGTGCACACATCCCAATCCCTGTCGGCTAACGAATTGACCAAAATCTTTGCTGCAGCATTTAATAACTAAACCTCACTAGAAGCAGAATAGCTCTACTGCAAGCACAGAATACAAACTCTCACTCATTAGGTGTTCCAGGATTTTTTGCCTTTCTCCAAGAGGGGGTAATATGTCTCCATCACTTAATGTAATTTTTTATAACTTGTAATTTTTGGTTTGAGTGTTTACAGAAGTGTAAGAAGACACAGAAATATAGAAAGGGATCTACTGCCTCATTTGAGTTAGTTATTAGCTGTCTCAAAATTTCCAGTTAAAGGGATTGTAAGACCTTTTTAAAACTTTACAGCTCAGAACTGAAGAGTTTTGAAGAACCTCCACCTTTGGAAACCTTCCCAAAATGCTTTTCTGTATCAAAGCTTACTTTGCTGTACTGATTTGCAAGAAATTTGTTTGCCCTCTAAGAGAAATCTGCAGCATTTTTGGAACCAAGCCTGAAAACACAGAAATGCCACTTTTATGACCCACACAAACTATGGCTCCCAGACCAAAACTAACAGGAACAACCCTGCACTAACATCTTCTGCAGCAGACCAGAAGAATCTACGCTGCACAGCTGCTGCATAGCATGTGTTCAGTTTGAATCTCTGTGCGTAGTAAAGGATTGCGTGAGATGTAGACAAAAATGCTTAAAGTATTTTCTGTCACAAGGAAGGAAGACAAATTGTTAGCATTAGAATAAGCAAAGCTTTATTTCATACTAATTCATATACTTTGCCCCTATACAAAAGCCTGGCCTGCAATAACTTAATTCTTTTTGCCTTGTTACCATACCCAAATATTCTCTACATCCTCCCTCACCCAACCCATCTGGCTCCCACCCAGGCCTCCTAGTCACCAGCTGGGGAAGAGGCAGGACATTCTGTGGCAGGTTCCAAGATACTCGTGTGCTGTCTGATCCGTACTAACTGGCTTGTGACCTGGCAATAGGTCAATGTGGACTCAACTTCTAAACCTTTTACATGCTGGGGTCACTGGTTTGAGTAATTTCTTCCCTGCTCAATTGCCAATTTCAAGCTTATAGAAATATAATTATCTTTGAGATTCTTAGCGCTCTCTCAAATTTGGTTACTAGGGGAACACAAACTGTAAAGGAATATGAATGTATAAATTTAATTTCTTTAGGAAATCAGGTTATAAAAATGAAAATCAGAGAAACAATGCACTATCATTATTACAGGATAGCAAATTCTTTAAATTATACAAATATAATATGGAGTGACAGCAATGTTATACTGTAAGAAATTAAGGATATGGTAAGTGGCTTGAACATGTCCTGAGAGAAAGCTGTGAGCCCTTGAGGCACAAGGAGCAGTTTGAAGAAAGATGAAAAATAAAGAAACAAATGATAAAGGCAGTGGGAAGAGGCACTGAGCTGCTGTCTTTAGTCGAGCCTACGAATGAAATGAGACAATCAGGATCCCTGAGACAGGTTTCAGAAACTTCTACATTTTTTTGCCATAATTTCAACTGATACTTAGAAGCAGATTTTTTATTGGTTTGTTTTAATGGCTGCAATCCTCCTTTATTATGTCAATTCAGCATAGTAGCTGAACTATATGCATGTTGACCAGCAGATAGCATGAGTTTTTAGCTCTGAGAGGTATGAAATATTTTCTCAACTGACCAGTTTATCAGCTGCAAACATGTTTTAATCAGCTGTAGAAATGTAATTAAACTGAATATTAACAACACAATGAAGAACACACTGAAGCTCAAAAGTAGGGAGATCCTTTTTAGATAGAATTTATCTCTATTCTGAACATTTGCACAATCGACAGCATGCAGAAAATATTTATAATAGTAGTAATAACAAAAGCAGCAACAACAAAAATAAAATGCTGAACTGAAATGTTAAAGAAACGAGAGATTAGGAAGGGGATAATCAGGAAGGAGTATCAAATACAGCAGACAAACTATGCATGAAGAAACTTTCTGTGATAAGTCAAGGTATCTTAGAAAAAGTGCTTGCGTAGAGTGAAAAGTATGCAACTCAAATTGTATGTGACACAAAATGAAACTGCAGGAAGAATTGTTATCAGGATGCTCAAGATACATATAGAGGATGAGAAATTCAAAGGAGTGACAGCTGGAAAGAAGATCAGATCATGGGATGAATATACAAACTAAATTATCCTTGAATGTCAAAAGGAAAAAATCTGAGTAAGAATAAGAAATCGTCGGACAGAATACTTTATACTTCATAGAACAGCAAACGGTTGGATAACTGTGGCAATCTGAGTCAGACTGTAACTGAATGGGGATCGGGTTAGCCCCGACTGTTCCCAGAATTCTGCTGCAGGAAAAAGGTTTATGTCATCTCCTGTGCTCTTTTACCAAATGGACACAAACAACTCAAGGATGTTTCATAATGTTTCATTGGAACAGTTCACAGAAATGCTTTCTTTGCCACTAGAGAAATGGCCTACTATTTCTGAAAGCGTAATTGTCTGCTGTTTATTGAATACACTAAGCAATTTACTTCCTTTGATCATCAGAGCAAACAGAAATGCTTACCTGAAGTTGGCTTTGTTTCTGCTGGGCAAGCACAGTCCTGGTGTTAAAACAGATCCTTTAATTTTTTCAAGAGCTTCTTCTAATTGAAGAGCTGCTTTTGTCTGGACTACAGGGATTACAGTAAAAAACACAATGGAGAAAAATATTTTTAAAATTGGAATATTTTACCATAAAAGGTTTGGTTAAGTTTGGAAGCCTAAATCCAGCCTGTTGCAATAAACTGAGTGGTTTAGCATCATTAGACATGCTGCAGCATCTCTAGTTCCTCTGACACAAAACCCCAGTCTATATAAGTGTTTACAGTAACACCTGTATTCAACAGTTTTGCTGTTTGTTTTCACACTGCACTGTTGAAAAAGTAGGCGGTTAAAAAATCTAGCATCCACTTTATTTTTACATCGCTATTATTCTGCTCATGCACTAAGCCAAAGTCATGGCTTGCAGATATTTTATAGACGCCAAACTGTGAGTTACTAATCAAACCAGTGGAGAAAGAAAGAGTCCAGACAGGCACAAGGTATTGCCTCTTTCAAGTTAGCAAAAGCAGGGTAGAAAGTGGCAGAGGGAGAACTGCTATAAAGCAAAACCAAGGAAAAAAAATTGTGATTCATTATATTGCTACACAGTCTGGGCTGTCAGTAGAGCTACGAAGAAGCCCTAAACCAGTACTGTTCTATTTTGTTATTTTAATCTGACATTTGATCTTGAAGTCAGAGACATTACCTCACAGCTGGCACAACTGCAATTGGGAGAGTAAATCTGTTAAAGAATACCTAAGTAATATACCATATCTTAGGAGTTTCAACACTGGAAAGTTGACTGGAAATCAGACTTGGATGATGCTGTTAAAAACCCCTGCCAATCTGCACTGATTCCAAGAAAGCAGAAACTGAGCTGAAGCAATCATTATTTCCCAGCAGTGAGAGAACAGCTTAAAAAGCTGACTAATTCAGCAAAAGTTATGTAATATATTAACTTATGCTAGGACTGCTTTTACTTAATCATAAACAAAGTGCACATTCTTGAACATTTCATATTTGGGGGTTCAAATAGGGGACAATTACACTACCCTAGTAACTTCCAGTGGCCTTGTAACACTTCACACCTAGCTGTGAAAGCACAGTGCTGTAAGCAATAAGCACACTGCAGTGAAAAAAGCAGGGAAAACCCAGGAAGCCACAATATCCTGAGGAGGTGATGTACTTACTGTGACTGGAATATAATATTTTACAATACAGTTTTTAGAAAAAGGTTTGGTTTTTTAATTCCCTCTACCCACTTTTGTTGTACGTATCAGACCTGAGCTTCTTGTTGGTTATGTTTTGTTTATACAAAAGCATTCAGTTTGAGTAAAGTTAATTGTTCTGTTTGCCTTCAATTATAATCTATTAAGAGAAAAACACTTGTACTGTGAATAATAGTTAAATTTTAATTTACAAACCTATTTGCTTGTGCTGAGAAAAACGCAGGTGAGCACGCTGGAACTTATCAGTTGCTTCCTGAAGTTTCATTTTCCTCTGCTGCAGAACTTGTTCTCTAAGCCTTCGTTCTTTTTCTTCTTCTTTCTTCCATTTTTCTTCAAATGCTCTGTATTTAAGAAGCAAAAGTAGATGATCCTTATGTTTTCTACATACATTTGCAAAAATATTTGTAACTTACTTGCGTATCAGTTTGTAATTTTAGTACAAAATCTTGCTTGTCCATAAATTAAATGCTATAAACTTCAGCACAACTGGATTTTTATGGTTTGTCTGAACATAAATGGGACAGTGGGTGGTGAAGAAGAGACACATCACAATCTTTTCCTTTTTTAGCCTCAACCAGAGATTTGATTCTTTCCTATGTGTGAATTAACATGCAGACTCAACCAGTTCTTCTCAGCAATGTGAATTTCACCACAGTCTTTGCATTACCATGTAAATGTATCACAGTGGGCAGATCAACAGGAAAGTGAATTGCAAATGATCTCTGTATGTGCCTTTCACAAGATGTCAGGGAAATAGTTTAAAAGTTGTTATTCAGAAATAGCACAAAGGAACTACAGCTTTTACCTATAAATATGTAAGACTTAGTATCAACTTCTAGTTGTTGAGATAATTCCTGAAAGACAATCAGATTAGTAGCACAAAATGGAATAAAACAGTACTGTGAAACTATGATTGACACAATCATGTGTTAATATCAAATATGTTAAATGTGTCCTTCTACTGGCTGGAAAACAAAGCAGGCTCTAATCGAAAACAACCATCATCACAAAGCTTTCCTTCGGTAGGCACAAGCTTGATGAAGCTATGTGGAACTTTTATTCCTGACGACGAAATCATCAGCTTTTACTGACAAGCTTAAACTAGCTCCTTGAGTGAAATATACCCAGTAAATTTATTGGCACAGTGCCTATGTAGGCTAGTCATATTTAAATAAGTGTTTTAAACTAAAAGAGGGTAGATTTAGACCGGATATAAAGAAGAAATTTTTTACAGTGAGGGTGGTGAAGCACTGGCACAGGTTGCCCAGAGAGGTGGTAGATGCCCCATCCCCGGAAACATTCTGTGCTAAAGGCAGTAATACTGTAAAAGTAACACTCTTCAAGTAAAACTTCTAAATCCCACCATGCAAGGATCACTACAACTGGGAGCTTCCCATCTTTAAAGTTCTCTGTGTGCTAGAAATGTGATTCTACAGGTCACCAGTACACTGCGTAGGTAGCATTGTCCTAGTACACTGTCCTAGCCAGCATTAGTGCGAAGAAAGGTAGTAATGTTTAGCCACATGTTCTTTCCTCCTCTCATCACGGGAAGATCCCTTCCCATAACTTTAAGCGCTTGCAGTTCCTTCATAGATCTTCTTGCTTAATCGAGTAAAGCTGCTACTTAACAAGGCTACTCCTTAATCAAGCTATTTTAATTATTCTTCCCTTTGCTTTTCAGGGAAAAAGTTCAAACTGAAATACTCAACTCGAGCCTCCCTAGTATCCCTTCAAAGTACTGACTGATCGCCTGTGAAAACAAATAGAAAAATAATTTGAAGTAGATACTTTTAATTTTAGAGAGTCTAAAGGCCGTAATTGCACAATAGTAAAAAATAGGAAAACCGCCAACTAATTCCCACGTACACACTTTTACAGGAATACCCACTTCAATCCACTTGGAAGCCAAAGCATAGCAGAGAGAAATATAAGGAACTTTCACTATATTGGAAATTCATATACGCACAGTTCTCAAAACATACTGAAACTAAAAACTGAGATTTACCAATTTTATGGACAAATGATTACATTTCATTAATAGAAACTGAAGACAAAATAGATATTATTTTTTTTTTGAAGTGGAAATGCATGGAATCTATTTCAGCTCTTCAAACCTTCCGTCACAAAGACTACATACTTGCATTCCTGCCACCATTATGACAGCACCTTAAACCTCCTCCTCATATCATAAGGGAGAACTGGAAGCTGTGTTACATCTGATCTTCCTTGCTTTGATACCACACCTCCAGTACTACCAATGTTAAGGTCAAGAAAGACAGTGGTGGAGCATATGAAAAGCCAAAAGCAAGAAGAGAGACAAAATGCAAAAGGATCCGCTGCTTTTGCTAATGTATGTGGCACTCTGGATTAATGTCTGCCAGGGTCAGAAATCAAAACGCCAATGTACACCATAAGCAATTACTGCTTCTACTTTGTAAGTACATTCACCTCAGAAAGCTGCTGAGACTACATCCTGTAAGGTATACAGACGGTAGCTTACATTTTAACAGCTTGTTTATTGCAAATGACACTTCATAGTTACACTTTCAAAAATCCAGGTGAATTTCTTCAATTCAAGGTAACACTTCTTCTAGAGATGAAGCTATAAAATTCTTCAGCTTCAAATGAAGGATGGGACAGAAGATTGACTTATGCAAAGAGAAACAATTAAATTAAAATATGACCCCAACACTGCAAGTTTCATTTGCAAACTTCAGTTTGTCAGCAAGCAGGAAT